GGGGAGGGAGGGGCGGGGGGGGGGGGGGACGACAGGATGGAGAGGCGGACAGGTGGAGGGATGGAGGAAAGGAGGGGCTGAGGGATGGAGGGATCGACGGGGGATGGGGGGGAAGGAGAAGGGCCGAGCGAAAGAGGCAGGAGGAACGGTGGGAGGATTGACCCAGGCATGGAGAGATGGAGGGATGGAGGGAGGACGTGGGGAGGGAGAAGGGCGGAGGGATGGAGGGAGAAGGGATGGAGGGACGGGGAAAGAGAGAGAGAGAGAGACAGGGAGAGAAAGAGAGAGCGAGAGAGAGAACGGAAGAGGGGGGAGGAGAGAGAAGAGAGGAAGGACGGGTGACGGAGGGATAGAAGGGTTCAGGGGCTAGAGAGACCTCGTGTGCTCCCCAGGCCGTCCCGCGCACCTCCGTTCTCTATTCGGCCATATTGGGGCCCTTTTGAGGCCCTTTTGTTGCCCTTGCGGGTCGCTCCAGGAAGTAATTTGATCACGCTCAGGCAATCGTGAGGCCCTCTTGCAAATTCATGATCTATCTCTCTTGGGCAGACAGGCAGAAAAGGAACACACACTGACGACAACCAGCTGTGTCGAGTTGTATTAGCTTTCTACTGCCTCTCGTGCGGTTTTTGGGCACCTCTCTTGGGGCCTCGGAGTCGCCTTGTAGACGTTTTGGAATGTCCTGGCGGCCTTCTTCGGCTCTATGGTCGCATCTTCGCCCCTCCCCTGCCCCTGGAGTCCTCTTGAACCGTGTTGCAGACGCTTTGCGCCATCTTGGCGGCCTCCTGAGGCCCTCTGTGGGCATGCCTCCGTGCCCCAGGGGCCCACCCTCGGGGGCCTCGAGCCTCGCACAGCCCGCCCAGGCATCACTACCCTCCTCCCCTCCGGGTGCGCAGGTCAACCTCCCCCAGCGAGAGTCCAGGGCAGGGTGCAGACATCGCCCGCGCCGGTGCTCAAGGGGCTGGCAGATTCCACGCAGGGGTGGCGCTTGATTGGTCCCATTGTTGCTGGCCGTCTACCTTGGCTTGCCAGATGCGATGCTCCATAGTCGTGCACTCATTACATGCGCACCAGTCTTGAACTTCCACAATGAGGCATTTGGCGAGGCATCCGTGTTTCAATCTGTGCGTTTGCTGCTGCATGATTGGCGCCATCGACAGCCCCATCAGGACGGTTGTCGCCAGTTGTTGTCACACCCTTGTTTTCCGTTTTTTTTCCAGCTGATGTGTTTGAAGCAGTCCCCAGTACCAGATAGCCGGTCCAAAAGGGATTGATCCTTCAAGTGCGTCGGGTAGCATATTTGTTTTTGGCCGCGCACGATGTTTTGAGGGGCGTGCTCTTCGGACGGCAATTTGACCACATCGGATTGTTTCCAGATTGATGCAGGTTCCTACAGACCAGACGACCAGTACATAATGGTGAATGGTACTGCGTATGAATAAAAAGCGGTGCGCGCCCTCTGCAGCCGCCGCGGCTCCACCAACCGTTTGAACCGTTTCGAGCCCGTCGCAGGTCCACCTGAGCACCTGTGAACACTTTCGGGGAATACCAGGGTCTGCTGACAGCATCTTTGGGCCTCGGCGGGCCAACTTGCGCGCTATCGGTTGCATCTATAAGACCTCGCTGGGGCATCGGAGGGTCGTCATGCGGTCATCACGAGGGCAGCTGAAGGCAACAGCGGCAATATGCGATAGTATGGAAATTGGCTTACTCATGGCATCAACTTGTGTTCGAGTCATTGCAGGAGCCTTGTTGCGCCATCTTGGGTGTCGTGGTGCCCCCTGGTTCGTCCTGGGACACGTTGGGCAGTCAGGGACAAAAGAATCCGAACCCTAAAATATACGATGAAGACGTGGCCTCACCTTGGTCCCCGCCTTCGCACCTGGGATCAACGATGTGGGCGGTTTGCTCTGCTGCATCTGCACAGGAAAAAAACCCTATCCCTGATGTTCTTGGCCCTCCTCACTTAGGTCCCCCCCCCTTGGGGCAGGGGCATCTCTATGGCTTATCAGTGCAGGCCTCTTGGGGCCTTCTGCTTTAACTCCCGGGGGGCCGTGGGTCCGTCTCGTGGCCATCCCGTGGGTGTCGTTTTGCGAGCAGCTTGCGGCGACCTCTCCTCCTCCTCCTCCTCCTCCTCCTCCTCCTCCTCCTCCTCCTCCGGGCGCCGTGGGCTTCTTTTGCAGACGGCACCAAGGAGACCAGGGGTCGACCCAAACGGTGACTTCGCGGTTTCGTGGGCCGCTTTCGTTTCCATGGCGTTTTGCAGCAGAGGCGCATCGGAGACGCAGGGTGGGAAAAGGACGACAAGGAGGAGATAGGATCTGGAGAGGCAGCAGACAGAATATGGGGCGACTGGGGGAAGACCAGGCTCCAGCAAGGCAGCAGTCCAGCATCCAGCTCGCTTCCTGATGCCCCCAAAGGGGGAGTGGCGCGACGATGTTGTTTTGCATGTGTATCATGGCTCGGGTGCCCCAATTGCACCGCCACTGTAGATTTACTCAGCCATTCCGGTTGAAAAACGTGCGCGTTTCGTCCTACTTGCTGAGCGCGTTCATTTCGCATGATCGCACATACTCGGCAGCGTCAACAAACACCCTGTTGATGGAGGCGCCCTTCAGATGTTTGCTCTCGTGCTTGTGCACATGTGTATGTGAACGGCCCAGGGACAGGGCCCCCGCGTGGCAGTGGTGTTGGCTGCGCGCCGGGCGCTGCGTGGGCGATGTTGGGGGAACCAAAAAATACGATACCAATACCGCCACCCGAACTGACCTCTCCCAGGATGCGTTCTGACCAGAATTTCGAGGCAAATCCAGCGGTGGCGACGAGGACCTCCCCGGAGGCCCAAAAAGGGGAACACGGCCGAAGGGTAGAGGTATGGGTACCTCGTCCTCCGACAGAGCGCGTTCTGTGGTCGCTTGGAGGGGGGGGGGGGGCTTGGAACCGGACCCCCCCCCCTTTCCCCCTCCCCTGGATGGAGGGGGGGGGTTCAACCCCCCCCGCCCCTCCCCACCCTGCTTCCCGTCTCCTCGGGCCGGCGCTTGCGTTGGCGGCGGCTGGCGACGGCGGCGGGGACGTCTGGGCCGGCGCCGGCCGGCGCCTGCGGCTGCGGGCGGCGGTGGCGGGGAGCATCGACGAGGACGACGGTGGTGGTGGTGGTCGTGGTGGTGGTGGGTTGTAGTGCTGGTGGTGGTGGCGGTGGTGGTGGTTGTAGTGGTGGTGGTGTGGTGGTTTGTTGTGGTGGTGGTGGTGGTGGGTGGTGGTGGTGGTGGTGGTGGTGGTGATGGTAGTTTGGTGGTGGTGTGGTGGTGGCTTGTGGTGGTGGTGGTGGGTTGTGGTGGTGGTGGTGGTGGTTTGGTGTGGTGTGGTGGTGGTGGTTGTGGTGGTGGTGATTTGTTGTGGTGGCGGTGGTTTGTGGGGGTGGTGGTGGTGGTGGTGGGGGGGCGGTGGTGGTGTGGTGGTTTGTGGTGGTGGTGGTGGGTTGTGCTGCTGGTAGTGGTGGTGGTTGTGTGGTGGTGGTGGTGGTGGTGTGGTAGATTGTGGTGGGTGGTGGTAGTGGTGGTGATTTTTGTGGTGGTGGTGGTGATGGTGTGTGGTGGTGGTGGGTGGTGGTGGTGGTGGTGTGGTGGTGGTTTGTGGTGGTGGTGGTGGTGGTGGGTTGTGGTGGTGGCGGTGGTTTGTGGACGTTGTGGTGGTGGTGGTGGTGGGCGGTGGTGGTGGTGGTGGTGTGGTGGTTTGTGGTGGTGGCGGTGGGTTGTGCTGCTGGTAGTGGTTGTGGCGGTGGTGGTGGTGGTGTGGTAGATTGTGGTGGTGGTGGTAGTGGTGGTGGGTTTTTGTGGTGGTGGTGGTGGTGGTGATGGTGAGTTGTGGTGGTGGTTGTGGTGGTGGTGGTGGTGTGGTGGTGGTGGTTTGTGGTGGTGGTGGTGGTGGTGGTGGTGGTGGTGGTGGTGGTTGAGGCCGTGGTGGTTGTGGTAGTGGTGGTGGTGGTTGTGGTGGTAATCTTCGCTGCGTCCCCGCCGTCGCCTGCGCCAGCGCCGGCGGTGCTGGCCGCCGCCAGCGCTGGCGCCGGCGCGAGGGGGGGGGACGGGGGACCCCCCCCCGCCCCCGGCGCCAGGGGGGGGGGGAGGGGGTTTCAAACCCCCCCCCCTTGAGCTGCCTCTGGTCATCGTCGTCGCTGCGTCCCCGCCGTGGGCGCTGCTGGCGGCTGCCAGCGCCGGCGCCGGCGCTGGCGCCGAGGGGGCGGGGGGTTCGGGGGTTTTCGGGGCGGTGGGGTTGGGGGGGATGGATGTCCCCCTTGTTTTGATCGACGGCGCCGAGTGTTGGGGGGGGGGGAGTGTTGGGGGGGGGGGGGGGCACCCCCCGGTTTGAAACGCGCCGCCGAATGTTCCGAAGGCAAGCGCCCGTGAAACGCGTTCTCTCTGTCCTCCTCTGAGATGTGGCGCTTGCGGGACGCTTGGAGCAAATGCTAAGCCATCTTGGACAGCAGGCGCGAAGCACATCAGGGCAGGTGTTCGAAACAGGCGTTCGCTTTGAGGGCCGCGGTGAGATCTTGCGGCAGGCCAGCGAAAGTGGAGGTCGCAGGGCAGTGCGAGCGCAGGGAGTGCCTTGAGCGGGTCCGCAGTTGGTTGGAGGGCACAGCAGCAATACGCATCAGGGACTCGATCTTGGACTACAGTGGAGACCCATGCCAAGAAACACCCTATTTGCCTCCAGGATGCCCTGTGCTTCTTGGTTTTCGATGGTGTTGCTATGGAAAGCGTGACGGTCCTATACCAAAAATCAGTGGACGTTTTGGGCTCTCAGGGTTGCGTTTCTTTTGGAAGGTTTCTTGTGGACTGGCTTCCACCGTATGACTTTCAACACGAATTTGTAGTAACAGGCTTGCAAGCACGGCAATCGTTTCACCATTGCGCAAGTCGTATTGCTGCTCTATCGTTCTTTCCGCTGGGGTTGGACTTGTAACTGAATCCCATAATGTTGCACATAATGTGCTGTCGGATGGGAAGGAAAGCATGTCCAACGCCAGCATCTGCGAGATGAAGAGAAGGGGTGCTGGCCTGATGCATTTTGCTCCGCGCCTAGACCCCCCGTCAGATTCTCGAGCCCGTGACGTCGACAGAGTGATTGCTTGCGCGTCGTAGATGTGGGAGGAGTTGCAGGGGAAGGCAGGAGAGAAGGAGGAGTTCGAGAACAGGTGGAGTCACAGCTAGTAGTGAGAATGGCGTGGCAGAGCTGCCAAACGGAGGCGATCCCTGGCGGGCCTGGCCATCCATCTCTTCCCGCGGCGATCAGTACCTTCAACTGATGCCGCCATCGGTGCGCAGGCAAGGTGTGCGACGCAAGCGCCCGAAGAGGCCTCCTGCAAACCACTTCCACCCCCGTGCCTTCTGGAAGCCCACGTGCGGTGGCATGCCGAGCGCGAGCGCGAGCACGCTGGTGGACTGCTTGGTCCCGGACGCGCTGAGAATACCACGGGGGGACGTTTGGGGACTGGCCGTCGTGGGGTTGTACTTCCGCGGCGAGCGAGGGGGGGAAGCGAGAAGGCGAAGGCCTGCTCAGAAGACGGCGAAACTTCTCAAAAGCCCTCGCGCCTTCCGAGAGGTTGTTTTTTTGTTTGTGCTCCCTGGGAAGGCTCCAAACCCCTGTTTGGAAGTCATGGGGTGCTCCGAGCCTTCTGAGAAGGCCTCCTCCCTCTCACTTCCCCCCCGCCCGCCGCCGGGGAATGGGGCAGCTTCTTCCACCCCTCTCTCCCCCCCCCCATCCAAACAAAAAACATGTTTTTTTTTCTAAGTTTATACTTGTAGTTTGTTTGTCCTACTAAAATGTCCCTTCGGCCCCCGCTGACCCCAGCTGGCCGCTCCGGCCTGCTCGTCGCGGAGCTCTCTTCCGCGCCGGAGCGCTTCCCCCCTTGCCTCCCCTCGCGCGGCCGCCCTCGCCTCCGTCCCCTCCTCCTTGGCACCCCGGGCAGTTCGCCTCTCGGCGGCCCCGAGGAGCCCCGCACTGGTGCGGTGTTGCCTCTGCCCCGCCGCCGACGGAAAAAAAGTCGGCTCGTCCTTCCCGGGTCTCTCTCGGGCTGCTTCGGGGCTCTGCGGGGCCGGCCTGGCGCCTTCGGAGGCCAGCCGCCTCGGAGAGCCCTCGCGAGGCCCTCTTGCGGGCCTGCGTGGGGCTTCCTGGAGCCGCCCCGGGGCCATCCCCCGGGGTCCTCTTGGGGCCCTCACGCCCAGACCCCCTCGGGCAGTGGACAAACCATAACGGGAGGATTTCCGTATTCTCGGCCTCTGGAGGCCCTCACCGGCCCTCGGGACCGTCAATAAAACGATTCAGGATGAAGAATTGGTCCACCTGAATGGGTCGAGACTTCCGAGGGTCCGCATTATGGAACAATCGTGACGCCGGGGGTCTGGGTGGGCCGTCTTGGCCCAGCCTCGGGGGCCGACTGGGCCGCCTTGGATGCTCTCACGACTGGGAAGGCGAGAACCGAATTCACTTTCGTCAGGAGGGAAAAAAACACACAGACACAATTAATCGTCGACTCCCCAGAAAATATGGGAAAATATGGCAAGTGGGGGGGAAGACGAAAACCCAGAAAATATAAGAAAATATGGGGAATCTGGTTATTTGTGTCTATTTATTTGTGTGTCCCAGGGCCCCTTCATTTCGAACGGAAGGGGAATCCGTGGACGTTGCTTCTTTTGGGCCTCCTGGCGGTCTTCTGGGGGACCTCCCGATCCGTCTGCGAGGCCTCTTCGACCTTCTTCTTGAAGCCATCGTGGACCGTCCTCAGGGCCTCTTGGGCAAGATTGCTGGTATCTGGAGCCATGAGGCCATCAGGCACCGTCTTGCGCCGGCTTGGAGTCCATCTTGGACCATCGCGGCCGTATTGAAAGTGGGTGTTCCTCGTCCCTGGGTCTCTTTGCGAGCTTCCGCGGGGCCGGCTGGTCGGGGCCGCAGGCCACCGGGAACCTGTTGGAAAGGCCGGGTGTCAGGAGGGGAAGAGCACACAGACACAACCAATCGCCGATCCCCCGGAAAATGTGGGGGATAACGGAAGCGGCGGGGAAGGCGAATTTCCAGAACATGTGGGAAACATGGGGCACCTGGGGATGTGTTCCTTTTGAAATATCATTCTAAGATTCGCCACGCCGACGACCCTTCCGACAGGCTACGGAGTTGGCGGATCGAAGACATTCGAGAAGAGTTGCCGCCCCCCCCTGGCCTGTGTCAGGCGCACGTTGGCCAACCGTTGGGCCAAAGCTTGGCCGACGCATTGGACTTTGTACTCCCTCGGCCGTTGTGGAGGGCCTCGGGGGAGCACTCGAGAGTGGACGAGGGAGAGGAGGAGGAGGACGAGGAGGAGGAGGAGGAAATGCAGAAGAAGAGGAGAAAACGGAGAATGAGGAGGATTGTGTGTCCCGCGGCGCACACGCGGGTACCCCCCATGCGATATCTGCACCGCTGCCACCGCCGCCATCGATCGTCCTCATCATTTCCAACATGTCGCCGTCCATGCTTCGAAGATTACTCACTGCGTGGAGCTCCCCATATGTGCATCTCATGTTTTATGCCATGCCGTAGTGAGCGTCTGTTCATGAGCGCTTGATTATAATAGCGCGTCCACGTGGGCGACAGGGCCGACGAAGGCGAGTGAATCCTAATGCGAGTGAGTGAGTATGAGTCAGAGTGAGCTTTGAGTATGATTGAATATGAGCCTCCCATTCATTCCCCCTCCTCAATATTCTGGCCGCGAAAAGGCCCGTGTCCTACCCCCTTGCGGCTCCTTTTAGGGGTGCTGAAACCAGCGCCCCGCTTGAGATATCCTCACAAACTGCTCTAAACGCAAACGAGTCTGCCCACCAAAACAGCCAAACCGCTTGAGACATCCCCACAACGTGGCCGCGAACGGGCTCGTGAAAACACCCCTAGCGGCTCCCCTCAGGGGTGTTGAAACCAGCGCCCCGCTTGAGGCATCCGGACAAACTGTTCTTTACGCAACCAAGTCTGCCCACCAAAACTGCCAAACCGCATATGACATCCCCACAAACTGGCCGCGAACGGGCCCGTGAAAACACCCCTGGCGGCTCCCTTTTGGGGTGTTGAAGCCAGCGCCCCGCCTGAGACATCCTCACAAACTGCTCTAAACGCAAACGAGCTTGCCCACCAAAACAGCCAAACCGCTTGAGACATCCCCACAAACTGGCCGCGAACGGCTCGTGAAAACACCCATGGCGGCTCCCTTCAGGGGTGCTGAAACCAGCGCCCCGCCTGAGGCATCCTCACAAACTGCTCTAAACGCAAACAAGTCTGCCCACCAAAACTGCCAAACCGCACATGACATCCCCACAAACTGGCAGCGAACGGGCCCGTGTCCTACCCCCTGGCTGCTCCTTTTAGGGGTGTTGAAGCCAGCGCCCCGCCTGAGACATCCTCACAAACTATTCTAAACGCAGTCGAGTCTGCCCACCAAAACAGCCAAACCGCTTGAGACATCCCCACACACTGGCCGCGAACGGGCTCGTGAAAACACCCCTGGCGGCTCCCCTTAGGGGTGCTGAAACCAGCGCCCCGCCTGAGACATCCTCACAAACTGCTCTAAACGCAAACGAGCTTGCCCACCAAAACAGCCAAACCGCTTGAGACATCCCCACAAACTGGCAGCGAACGGGCCCGTGAAAACACACCTGGCGGCTCCCCTTAGGGGTGCTGCAAGCAGCGCACCGCCTGAGACATCCTCACAAACTTCTCTAAACGCAGACGAGTCTGCCCACCAAAATAGCCAAACCGCTTGAGACATCCCCACAAACTGGCCGCGAACGGGCCCGTGAACACACCCTTGGCGGCTCCCCTTTGGGGAGTATGAGTACGAGTAAGTCTGAGTATGAGTAGGTCTGAGTATGAGTAGGTCTGAGTATGAGTAAGTCTGTGTATGAGTAAGTCAGTGTATGAGTACGTCTGGGTATGAGTAAGTATGGGTATGGGTAAACCTGTGTATAAGTAAGTCGGTGTATGTGTACGTCTGGGTATGAGTAAGTCTGAGTATGAGTAGGTCTGAGTATGAGTACGTCTGAGTATGAGTACGTCTGAGTATGAATAAGTCTGGGAATGAGTCAGTCTAGGTATGAGTAAGTCCGAGAGGAGGGGAGGAGAAGAAGAGGGAGTAGGAGGCGTCCAAGTAATACTGATAATCCCATCAAAGGATATGGGGGGTAACTCAGACTATAAGAAGGTCTGAGTATGTGTAGGTCTGAGTATGAGTAAGTATATGTATGAGTACGTCTGGGTATGAGTATGTCTGAGTCTGAGTAAGTCTGTGTATGAGTAAGGCTGTGTAGGTGTACGTCTGGGTATGAGTAAGTCTGAGTATGAGTAAGCCTGAGTATGAGTAAGTCTGTGCATGAGTAAGTCTGGGTATGAGTAAGTCTGTGTATGAGTACGTCTGGGTATGAGTAAGTCTGTGTATGAGTACGTCCGGGTATAAGAAGGTCTGAGTACGAGTAAGTCTGTGCATGAGTCAGTCTGTGTTCTGGGTGTGTTCTTGTTCTCTGGAATCGGCGGCGTCCAAGAAATAACAAGAATTCCATCTTAGGATATGGGAAATAACAAACGGCATAAACATAAAAGTTTGACGCTCCGCGCGGATTTCTTGGATCCGCGCTGGGCCCTCCTGGCGGCGCCTCTGGCGTCGCCCTTGGCGCGCTCCGCTCGTTAGGGAGGGGGTTCCAGCGCGGATCCAAGACATCCGCGTGGAGCGCCAAACGTTTATGTTTATGCTGTTTTTCTTTTTCGAATACTGCCACCCGCTTCAGCATTATGACGATTACTATGCTCGTGTTTACCAGCCTGGAGACGCAACACCCTCCCCTGTCAGTTGGGGTAACCTTGGGGCCGTCTGGAGCATCTGGGGGGTCTATGTGGCTGTCTTAGGGCTCTCTTTTCCCGTCGGGCGCCTTCGGTCGCCTTTTTGGTCGCCTGGTTGGGCTTTCTTGGGGCAATCTTTGGGCTTCTCGGGAGCCTCTGTGGGCTGTCTCTGGGGTAGATTGACCCGTCTTGGTTTCCACTGTTCGGTTTGTTG